CAAGGTTATGCAGGTACTTGCACCTGAATACCCCCTTAACTTCTGGACCCTAGAGGCCTCCTTCACCTCCCCCTACTGCTAGCCCTGCTAAGGCAGACAGTCGTCACACTTTGGTTTCCCTCTTAGATATTTCCTCTGGGACAGACAGCTTAACCCTCTGTGCCTCCATTTTTTTCCCCTCAAGAAAATGAGATAAAGTGAAAGTGAGAAAGTCCCAAGAAGTATCTTCGGAATTTGTTTATCTCAGAATGTCTGGCATGTAGTAGGTGCTTAAATTTGAGTATGTTTCATTCAGTGAATAATCGAATCCTATTACTAAATGGGGAGGACCCCTTATGATTTAATAGCAGCTGCCTCCTATCCAGAGAGCAGGAGCTGTTGTCATCAGCTGCACTTAGTGTATTCCTAGAATATAATAGAGGTCAATAAAAGTTTGTTGAATTCAATAGAGGTGAAACTCATTGTCCTGAGGGTTAAGTCAGTAGTTGTTTACAAGGTGGCAATTAGGGACCTTCTTCAAAATATTTTCTCTTACTCTTCTTGAAATCCCTGTCTTAATAATTTATTCCTTTGACTTTCATTTCCTTACCCAGTGCCTTACTTTAAAATCCCAAGGGCTGGCCAAGTGGCTCAGTTGGTTAAGAGCTCTCGATCTCTGAGCAACAGCGGTTCGATGCCTGGCCCCAAGCTGAGCTACCACTGAGCTGCCAACAGGTAGCAGGATGGCTCAGCTTAAAAAAAAAAAAATTTTTTTTTTAAAATCCCAGAGCCATAGGGAAAGGATTACAGTAACCAGAAACAAAACTTGACCTTTATTGAGTTTTTGCCTTGGGAATTTTCTAAACCAGGTAAATATCACCTATGGGCCAAATTAACCTACCACCTGTTATTGTACAGCCTGGGAGCTAAGAATGGTTTTTACATTTTTTAATGGTTGGAAAAAACTCAAAAGGTTCATGATATGTGAACATTATTTGAAATTCAAATTTCAGTGTTTATAAATGAAGTTTTATTGGAACATATCCACATTCATTCACTTACGCACTGTCCATGGCTGCTTTTGTACTACAGTGATGGAGTCGAGTAGCTGGGACAGAGATTTATCATCCACAAAGTCTAAAATATTTACTATCTGGCCCTTTACAGAAAAAGTGTGTTGATTTCCTAAAGGGAGGCTGTTTGTCCGCTTTATACTTATCCCATCAGCTTCTTCCAGTGTTTTTTACAAAACCACTAGGTATAATCCAATTTCAGTGAGGAAGTGACACTCCCTATGGGAGAGTTATGTGTGAGTAGAAATCTTGTGAATAAAACCATATTTTAAATATTTTTTATATTTCTACTTAAAATAATTATTTAGGTTTAGAGAAATGCAAATGTTTTCTCTCTGAGTTTTGGAGGTCAGGTTTGTCTGAAGCAGGCACTTCATTACCCCAGAATCACCTCCTCTTTATCTTGTCTTTTCACTGCTCATAATTCTTGGGGCTCAGGCTGTTGGCGCTGGTGCACTCCATACTTAATCTCAGTCTCGGCTCACGGGAAGCAGACTGAATTATGACCCAACCAAGAGAGAGACTTTTCCCAGGGGTGGAAACGGAAGTGATTTACTCTGGGTACTCTCACCAACACTGCCGGGAAATCGTCTGTCTGCAGCTATGTGGTTTCCATATTGTAAGGAGTGGGGGGCGGCCACAGGCAAGGATAGGGATTCCAGAATTGATATTTCTTCCATTGTCCCCTCACCCAACTTTATCAGTAAATGTGGGATTGTCATGTTGGCCCCCATTTTGTCCCCACCATGGACACTCCCTAAACTTCTGGGTTTGCAGCTGGTCAACTTTAAGGAAAGTGAACTTCGGCTAAATTGGCAGCACAGGGATTTTCAAGTTAGATGTCACCTCCCAATAGGGAAAGTTGATGGGGTCTGATCTCAGTTGCCATTTCCCCTGGCTTTCTCGATTCTAGATTCTCCCGGATTTGTCAGAGGGATTGATTTTGTTGCTCTTACCAGTGTGAGCCTTGAAGCCCCACTTTTCCTCTCACCTCAGTCAGTGTCAGAGCAATAGCAGCATAGGAGCCTTCCAGCCGCCCTGTGCACTGCTGGTGAGAAATTTAAAAGTCAGCTCCACCTTAGGATGTGAACTGAGGGGAGTTATTGCAAGGCAGCAGGCTTCCTCTCCCCATTTTCATAGTGTAATGGGATGTGTGTCATGAAATGCCTTTAAGCAAACAAACAATCCCCAGTCTTTTCCTGACGTGAAGAAACTTTGAATTTGCCCAGAATCATAAAATCAAAGTATTACCTCACTCACAACATTTCTGACATCAGATGTGTGGGTTGTCTACGTATCAAGCAATTCCCTGACACCAGCTGGGTGTTCTACGATTCATTTTAGTTTTGACACCATCTACCTGGAGTTAGTATCAGATCCCGCAGATTAAGGTCTCAGTCCCACAAGACTACCCCCACTTGAGGCATCTGTACTTCTGACCGACCAGCTATAAATCAGGGTTCCCATGAACCCCTCCTCGGGTTCAATAATTTGCTAAAATGGCTCACAGAACTCATGGAAACACATTTACCAGTTTATTAAAAAGGGTATAATAAAGATTATGAATGAACAGCCAGGTGAAGAGATACGTAGGGCAAAATCCATAAGGGTCACGAGTGCAGGAGCGTCTGTGCCTGTGGAGTTGGGGCGTGCCACCCTCCCAGCAGGTAGATGTGCTCACCAACCCACAAGCCCCCCAAGGCCCACACTATTGGGATTCTTATGGAGGTTTCATCATGTAAACATGGTCAAGTATTAATTCCCAGCCCCCTGCCCTCTCCAGAGAATGGGACCTGGGTCAGGGGCAGGGGGGTGGCAGGGTGGCGGCAGGGTGAAGCTGAAAGCTCCAAACTTCTTATCATGGCTTAGTCTTTCTAGTGACCAGCCCCCATCCAAGATTCAAGAGTCACTTCAAATTCACACACACACACACACACACACACACACACACACACGCACACGCACACGCACACGCACACACACAAAGGAGTCACTTCATCAGAACATACGATGCTCCTATCACTCAGGAAATTAAAAAGGCTTTAGGAGACATGTCAGGAGCTGAAGTCAAACACTAAATTTTAGAACAAAAGATTCTCCTACACCCCTGTTTACAAGGGTTTTAGAAGCTCGGTATCAGGAACCAGGGGCAGATACACACACACACACACACACACACACACACACACACACACTATTATTATATAATGATATATGTATCATTATTATTTCACAAAAAGAGACTTAATTTTATGGATATGGAACTGAAGACCAGATTGGTGAAACAAGTTGCCCAGATCCTGCAGCTTAAGGGGCAACAGGGTCCACATTAAAACCTAAGGTCCCTATCTGGCACCCAGAGCATTTCCCATTAAGCCACACTGTCTTCTCATGGCTGGTGGAGGTGGAGTGACAGGTAGAACCATGAAGATAGATGATTGACGGATGAGGCCAAGTCATTAAAAAGAAGAAAGGAGAACTACTAAATGCCAGACAGGAAGCACCAAGGGCTGCACACCCCATCTTAAACACAAGCTATAGATATTTCTTTATATTACGAAAAGTATGAAAACACGGCTTCAGGACTCGTGCCTTAGACCCTGCTTTCAGACTGCCAACCCTAAGCCCCCACTGTTTCTATGGGCTTTGCATAGGTTATCTTATTCAATACAACAACTATATGAATAGGTTATATATCCCCGTTTTAACGGATAACAAAAGGCTCTGAAAGGACACAAAGCTGGGATTGGAACACATGATGGGCTGTGTGCACAACTCAGTTCTCTTTACCATTTTATGCTGCCTCCCTGCTGAGAATGCTGATGGGGGGAAGGAGGGGCCCAGTGGGGTGGCCAGTTGGAGGAAGAGCCAGGCTAGGCTCCAAAGCCCTCTGATGGACTGCCATCTGTCCTGCCGGGAGCCCTTAGTTGAGCTGTAACTGAGGTGAAAGTCCTAGGGCCAAAACAAACTGCCCCAGCCAGAGACAGCTGATCCCCCTTCCCCCAGAGCACAGTCTATGGCTTGACTTGTCTCTGGTGCAAAGGGCAAAGCAGTGTACCCACATCCACTGTCTTGATACGAGATAAAGAACTGATCTGATCCTAAACCAGGGCTGTTTTATGTTGTCTTCCTTTGTCAGGAAGAAAAACAATCACCACATACTCTGTGTGCTATCTCCTCTTATGGTAAACTCCCTAAGAGGATTGGTCCCAATCCATGCTGACCCTGATGACAGAATCAGCCTTTTAATTAGTGCATCTGGCTCACCTGATGGAAGTGATTGTTGCTCATCGTCCAGGAGGTGCCAGCTCTCTCTCCCCTCAGCAGCACAATCGCCCCATTAAACAGACCCTCACATGTAGAGCTCAATGTGAAGACTCCTGCCCACGAGGGCTGTATTATGATTGTTGTGGACCCTGGGTACTCTTGCCTTTGTGGGCTCCATTCCTCCATAAAACATTATTAAAATTATATTTTAAGTCTGCATCGGTATGAAGACAAATATATTACTATTATACACTAAAACATTTTCTTCGACCTAAAAGTTTTTTTTTTTCTCTTCTGATTTTAAAAGAAATTAAACCCTTTTTGTGGGCATCTGAAAGCATTGTGAGCCCTCGGCACTGTGCCCCCTGTGCCTGATGGAGGACAAGTTGGCCCTGCTGCCCAACCCTGCACCCTCTGCTTCATCCCACCCTCCATGCCCTGTTTGCTGAAACAAAGAGTCTGTATTTCCTGAAGGAAATTCACAGTGCAGTGCATGTCTTCCCTGAAGAAAGCCAAGTAATAGAAGACAATTGGAGGGGCAAAAGGGGAAAGGCCCTGAGAAAGCCCAGGACTGGCAACAGAGAGGCCTGCGCTCAGCTGGAACTTGACTACTTGACTCCTCAGTTGTCACAAGGAGATACTATGCTGTCTCTCAGTGGTATGTTGAAGGTCAAGGAGACAGAGGCAGGACCAGGAGCAGGAGTGAAGGTTCAATTCAGCCAGAATCGAGATTGATCTTACTACTTTCTAATGGTGAAAACAAACCAAAGGCCAGCCAAAGCCTTGACCTGAGAGATGGTGAGGTCCCATCCTGGGATGTGTCCACCAGGGGCCTCCTGCCCAGGGTGCTCTCAGGAGATGGATGCCTCAGACAATGTTTGTGTAAGGAAATGGAGAAAATTTGGTGGTGGTGTGTGGTGGTGGAGCGTGGTGGTGGAGCAGGGAGAGGGTGGGTAGACAGTACAGGCATTCCTGGCATGTTTTCTGTTTGAGAGCAAAGCAGCCAAAAAAGGGAAGGGGACTCCCTGGAGAGCTGCCCAGGACAGGGTGGCCCCACGGCTGGCACAGCCCGTTTGGAGGATGTGGAGTGAGGAAGGGTGGGCACTGGGTGGAGAAGGAGGAAGCCAGCCAGATGGCAAAAGATTGCATGCAAGGTACATGAGTGACCTCTCTCCATGGCCCTCAGAATCTGTCACGTTACCAACTTGTCCAGTGTAATTGGATATTTTGTAGGAGGCAGTGAAGGTGCTGAGCTTTGTGACTGTTCTGATACCAGCTAAAACCAAAACACGAGCAGCAATGCAGGAGCAAGGACTCAGCAAGATGCTGGAAGTGAGGTGAGGCCGGGCCAAACGCTTGGGAAGGGCTTTGAACAACCACCAGCAGGGCCATCTGGTCAGCAGGCCCCACTGGCACAGGGCCTCTGGCATCCGAGCTTTTCCCAAAGGCCCGTAAAACCACATGTGATGAGAAAAAAATGTAATGGATCCAGAACACAAAGAGAAAAGTATAAAATTAAAAGTAATGCATTTTAGTTAAATGTCTATAAAACATATAATTATGTCAACTTCATTTTAAAATTTAGTATTATAAATTCTTTTATATTTGAAAATAATGCTACGGTTTGACTTTCTCACTCTATAAAATTTCCTGTGAATGTATGATGACAGGCCCAGAACTCATAGCCAATCCTATAATAAGTGAATGACTGGTAGCTAAATAATTTCAAAAGCAAAATTAATAAAACCCTTTTGATTATTAAATAGAACAACAAAAATGTTATATTTAATGTTAAAACATGGATATAGTCTAGTGTATTTGATGTGATGCGGAATGTGGACTCCATAATTAAAAGGCCCTGGGGCCCCAAAGGGTCTGAAACCAGCCCTGTTTCACAGCCGCTGGAACTGGGGTTTAGGCCAAATTGAACCAGATCTCTGAGGGGTGAGATGGGGGCCCCAGCCAATATCAGATAATAACTGAATTAGGTGAACTTGGAAACTTCCATTTCAGAATCCACCTGTACACAGGTGCTTTCAACCCTGAAGGGTATGAGCTTTTAGATGAAGGGTATGATGTTCTCTGGAAGGAGGAAGCACCTTACAATTGTAACAAACTGTTATGTTAAATCGCTGCTAGGACTAATTCATGAAAGAGAAAGTGAACCGGAATGAGTGGGTGATCAATTACTGCTCGGTTGTGACCGTGGCCTGCACAGGTCAGGTGGCCTGGGGGTGAGGCAAGGAGGCACTGGGGGTCGCTCTGGCCTAGACCAGCAGCCCCAGCATCACTTCACAGCGGTAGGCCTCCTGATGGCAGCTGGGGTGTGCTGTCACCCATTCAAACACTAAAAGCTGACACTGATTGCTATTTTCTCTTTGAAGGATGCCTTTTTTTCCCTTGAGATTTCACTCTTACACTTGAGAAAAGGGTGAGAAAAAAAAAATCAGTGCTCTTCCGTCATCTCTCTCTTCCCTCATTTCTTGTCTTTGGTCCTGTTCCCAGGCTTCTAGCATTCCATGCCTGTTCCTGACACCCCCAGCTGTGTTCTCCCTTTTCCCCAGCCCTCCCCAGATAAGTTTTTTTTTTTTAATTTTCGGTTTCTTTCTGTGAAGCAGCCAAGGTGGCTGGTAGACACCTCTCAGGACCCTCTCAGGCTGGGTTCAGAGCTGTGAGTGACAGGCCAGACTAAGGAGGACGTCACCAGCCTGGCCTTGTAGAGCTAGCAGTGACTGTGGGAGAATCCAGGCTTCTCACCCTCATTTCATGACCTCAGCCCTGAAGTGACCAGTGAGGACGTGGTGTAAGGCCACTGGTGTTGGACTGCTCTCCATTGGCGTTGACCTGGCGGAGGCAATTTAATGGGTCTGTATGTCTCTCTGTCATGGATGTCAGTGACCAGACAGGCAGAGGCCAAAGAGCAGAGGGGAGGAGTGACCTTCCTGGCCTTCCTTCCCCAAGGAGATCCCACCCCCTCCCAGTGCTCCCTCTGCCACACTAGTGCACTGTCACTTTGGACCCTGAAGTCTGGTAGCCTTAACAATAATGAACTCACATTCATCTAGCACTTCCCTGCTCCCAGAGAACATCTACATATTTTATTTGATCTTGACAGTAATGCTGAGAACAAGGTGGGGCAGACATCAGAATTATGCCCCATTTATAGATGAGGAAACAAACAGTTCAACACTGAACTGACTGGCCAGTGTTCTGCAGCTAGTGTGTGAGCCAAGTGAGATTGGAACCTGGTTCTTCTGACTCCAAGCGCATTGAGTATGGGCTTCAGCCTTGAACCAACAGGGAAGCACCGGCTCTCACTTAGCAGCCAACCAGGTCACTAGCATGGATTTCAAGTAAGTGTACACACAGTGTGAGTATGAGTGATTCTAGAACCAGAATTTCTGTCAAGGCTCTTAAAATGCTGGCATCATGTAAGTCATTGATCTTTAGAGGGAAAGATCATTTCGTTTACAGCAAGATTCAGTGCACTCATTTATTCATTAATTCATTCATGTATTCATTCACTCAAGTATATATGAGGTCAGACAATTAAGTTCGCAAACTCATCCTAGAAAAAGTGCTACATACCTCATTGCTGAATATCACTACAGGCACCTTGGAAGTACTCCCCTTGAGAAGCTATGCACCAACGCCAGCGCCTAGTCCACCCTTCAAAGCAATTTTGGAACTCTTTTTCTGGAATGGCCATCAGAGTGTCGTCGTATTACCCTTGATGTCCTGAATGTCATCCAAATGTCTTCCTTTCAATATTTCCTCTATCTCCGTGTAAAGAAAGAAGTCATTGGGGGCCAGATCAGGTGGCTAAAAACTCCCTCACAGACAGTGCCGTGTGAGCTGGTGCATTGTTGTGATGCAAGAGCCATGAATTGTTAGCAAAAAATTCAGGTCTAACTTTTTCACACAGCCTTTTCAGCACTTCCAAATAGTAAACTTGGTTAACTGTCCAGCTGGTACAAATTCATAATGAATAATCCCTCTGATACCAAGAAAGGTTAGCAACATCGTTGCAACAAGTTCGCGAACTGAATTGTCGGGCCTCATATATTGAGCACTACTACATGTCCAGTAGATGGAAGCCAATTTGCCAAAAATCAGTGCACTCCAAAACCCAATCTGCTGAGTAATCAGTTCACTCCATTTGTCAATTTGATCAACTTGTCAAATGAGCAGTTTTCTGGTTTTACCAAATTTACCAATCGTAATTATCACAGCTTGAACATTAATGCTTTAACAACTAAAATGTTGGCCAAACAAATATGTAGAAATTAAAATTTCTTCCACATGAAGCATTACTTTTCCAGGCAAAACTCCAGCCTTGAACTATGTGATAGGATTGTTTTGGCTACATCTGCTTTCTTTTCGTGTTTTTGAATGTGTATATTTCCAAACTTGAAACATTTAAATATTTTTTCATCAATGTCTCAGAAGGGCTTTAAGCCTGAACTTTATAGAAGCCGTGTGAGAAGTGGTTACACAGAAGAGCCCAGCTCTGCCACTTTCTTTAGAAGCAGCACCTTGGTCAAGTTACGTGTACATATGTATGTGATGTGATCTCAGCCACATTACGTGTAAACACTGAGGGGAAAAAAACACATCACAATAACAGACTTGTTTCTGGATGGTGGAATTGTGAGTAACTCTACTTCCCTTTCTTATAACTTTTCTATACGTCTTATTTTAAGACACCATTTTCGGAATTTTAAGTGTTCTCTATGTAGGAAGAGCTGCATCAGATCGCTTCATATATGTTGTTTTATTTAATCCTCATGACAAATGCCGGAGATAGGTCATGTTATCACCGTTTTATAGACAAACTGAGGCTCCAAAGCATTAAGTAATTGCACGTGTCCCACACCTCAGAGGAGCCTGACTCCCTGTCTGACTTCAAAGCTCATGCTAATTTTACTTCCTCTGGCTCAACCTAAGCGTCCTTCTCTTTTCAATGGTGCGATATCTGCATCTCAAAAACAGAGGGAGGGTGGAATGAGATGATAGGTGTGAAAGCCCCTGCAGATGATAAAGCAGCCTACAAAGACTAATACTAACCAGTAGCACGCGTTGTTTTCACTGTGCTGTTCTCAGGCTTGTGCGTATTGTGTTCCTTCAATCATCTCAACAACCCTGTGAGGCAGGTAGCCATTATCATCATCTCCGTTTTACAGAAAAGCCTATTGAGGAACATAGAGGGTAACATGCCAAGGTCACATAACCAAACAAGACATTGATTATCTAGATGGGAGCCTTTCCACTGTAAATAACGTCGGGGTCATCTTTCCCAATCTTCTCCCCCACACATTCCTCAGGGATACAACCTTCTAGAACACAGGTAGTCTGCCTGGCTCAGCAGAAGGTGCATGAGGGGTGGGATCCTGGTTAGAGATCAGAAGTCAGGCATTAGATCCACGCCTTTGCTGGTGTGTATTGTTGGCCTTGCTTTCCAGGGACTGTAGGGGACAACCACGAACTCCAAGGACACTGCTGCCACCTGCTGTTCACGCATTCTCCATCCAAGGGCTTCTCCCCAAAGCCTGGCAACCTTGTAGCAAGGCCCTTTGCTTCTTTGAGTCTGTCTTCATCTGTAAAAAGAAGACAATAATAATATCTGCCTCATACAATTGCTTTTATGATGAAAGGAGATTCTATTTCCCTCTACAATCTACTTTCCTTCCAGAAAAAAAGTTACATATGTAAAAAGCAAGGTAGGATGGGGAACAAACATCCCTCAATACCTAAAATCATCTCTGCTTACATTAACA